AATGTTGCACACTTGAAACATATAAACCAATGTTACCTCAGTAAAAAATAATTTTTAAAAATGGGGGATATGGCATATGCAATCAGTAAGTTCTTCAGAACTACAGAAGCATTGTGAGGTAGTGCAAAGAGCATCTATATGCTTGGGAGTTAAACAACAACAAAAATGGGGGATATAAGTACCTTCCTCATATAATATATCTGAGTTTAAATTTGATAATTCATGTCACATCGTTAGCATAATACCTGGCACATAAGCCACATACGTTGTATTATATAACCTGTTTGCTTTTCTCTTTTCAAGTAAACTATAAGTTACTTAGCAAAAATAATAATAATAATAAATTAAAATAAAATTTAAAAAAAAGAAAGAAAAATACGCCAGGTTCTACTGCCGTTCACACACCTTGCAGATTTTCTGCTGGCTCAGCTGACTGCTTGTGGAGCAGGAGCTGGGACCCATGAGTGCACCACTTCCTGCCAGTTCTCCCTCAGTGTCTCTAAATCCTAGGCCAGGTGTTTCGCTCCATGTTGAAGGGCACCAGCTTCCTCTGCTGGTCACCCATTATTTAAGTTAGAAACTTACATGGGTTCCAGTCCATGCTTGCTAGTTGCGGCTTGCCCTTGTTCTCCCCTACTTCATACCCATCTCTCCTTTTCAACTGACTAACCTGCTGACTTCAAGTTGAGGCACTAAGACATAGAAGTAACAGTCACATGTAGACTAGTTAACCAGCTCCCAGTTACATAAGTCAAGTGCCTAAAATAAATCCTTTATTATTTCTGATTACACCTAGTGTTTCTGCTTCTCTGATCAAACCCTGACTGATAGACCAAAACTCTAAAACCTTGTTTTGGTCTCAGCTCTACAAATACATGTATGAAATCTTCATCCACCCATTTGGCAGTTTCCTTTGCCACCCCTGGTTAGAAGAAGCTCTCCCTCAAGTAGATTCCCCAAAAAGTAGATTCACACGTGGACAGTATTCTGAGTTCTTGGGCATTCAAAAAATTTCTATAGCCCTAATTGATTCTTAAAAGACAGCTCTTTGGATATAATATCCTTGGTTTGTACTTCTTAAGATTGTTGAAAATGTTGCTCTACCGTTGCCTTGCTTTGTACATTTGTGAAAAATCTGTCCTGGGTAATTTCCATGCCTTTAAAAGTGATCTTTCTTTCCTGGAGGCTCTGATGAGTTTTTTTTTTTTTTAATCCTCACCCAAGGCCATTTTTCTGTTTATTGTTCAGATAGAGTGGGAGGGAGCGAGAGGAAGAGAGAGAGAAAGAAACATTGACGTGAAAGGGACACATCGAGTGGCTACCACCCGCACGACCAACCAGGGCCGGGGACAAACTGCAACCAAGGTACACGCCCTTAGCGGGAACTGAACCCACGTCTCTCTGGACGGCAGGCTGATGCCCTAACCACTGAGCCAAACTGGCCAGGGCTCTGATGATTTTTTTTTAAACAACCTTCAAGTGTAATGGTTTTACCAGGATATCAACTTTCCCTGATACCTGTTAGGACCTTCCAATGTGTAGACTGAAGGTTTCTTTTATTTCTAGAACATTTTCTTGGATTTTAACTTTAGCTCCAGACAGTTGTTTTGGTTTTATTCTTCGGAGTCTCCAAGTAGTCTTATGTTGGACCTCTTCTGCTGTCTTTCAACTCAATCTTTTTACTTCTTTCTTTAGCTCATTTTTATTCCCTAAGTTTCCCCCCTGCTCTATTCCAATGCCCTTATTCCATTTCTATATGAACGTATTGTCCCTCAGGCACCTTGTAATTTAGTCTTCATTTCTAATATAATTCTGACCTTTTCCTTCTATTTATTTTCTAAGTTCAATGAGTACATTTCTTTCTTTTCTTTTTGGTCCATTTCTGTTTAGTTTTTGAATGTCTGATTCAGGTTACTTTTTCATTATTCCTAAAAGCTGTTTGAGGATATGTTACAGTTTTCGCCAACTTTGTGATCATTTTTTAAGTGAGAATTTTCATCAACATTTCAACTTTGAGTCACATTTTCAGCTTTTTACAGTTTTAGATGGATGTGATATTTTTAATATTTCTATTCATTTTGTGGACAGGGCTCTCAATTTGAGAGCGCCCTCTTCTGACAGTTCCCCTTTTCTGTGCTGTTAATCATACAGAATAAAAGTAGGAAGGACTTGGTCAGGGTGTCTTTTCCCTTAGCCAATTCTGCTTTATCATTTTGCTGTAATAAATTCTAGTTGTGAACACAGCCACATGCTGAATCCTGTGAGTCCTCCAAGGAATTACTGAATCTGGCAGTGGTTTTAGGAGTCCTGATACAAAATGAAATTATATGTTGCCTCATTAAAAGGTTTAGTTTCACTATAAAATTAAAAATGCATTTTTCTAATTTTTAATAAAATATAAAACAGAAAAAAACAGTATATGCTACATAATGACAATACCAGCATTCATTTAGTATTAAGGCATTTAGGTTTTTAAAAGTCTAATTTAATTATATATTAACATACATCTAGCAATCACATTTTAAAATATGCCAAGTTTTCCTAATAATTGTTTCTTACAAAACAAAAATGCTTGTCCTTAGATAACAGCCATTGTGCTAAATTTGGGTATTATATAATAATACAATCTGGCATGAAAAGGAAAAAGAAAAATTTAGAAACTCTTAAGTAGAAAAGTATCTGTTAGTGTAACATAAATGTGAACTAAACTGCTAAGAATTAATAACAACCTTAGGGCATAGCTACAGTCTTAAACAATGTTTGAAGACCAGATCATTCATTACTATTAAGTACATAATAGTAGTAATAGTATGAATACTATTACTATTCAGACTCTTTGGCATTATGATTTTTCATATGTTACTATAAGAGTGACACTAATCACCATTACAAACCTGACTTTAAAAACTGTTTTACAGAGTCAGAAGACTGGTACTAAACTGGACCTCTTTCAAGGGGTTTTTGAATTAATAAGCACTTCTTCACAAAGCTGAACAATTTTGGCTTAGTGATAAAGTGAACTGAATATTCCACGAAATTTAAAACAGGTTGCCAAATGTCACTTTCAAGAACTATTAGCACTGCTGCAAATGTGTTCAGAAACATATCAGATAGTACTGAGTCAAGACACTTAGCTGTAAGAAAGCGAATGAAGTCAGCAACAGACAGCTCATTGAACTTTCATTAGTAATAATCTGGGTATGCCTGCTTTTGTGACTGTGAAATGAATTTACCTTCTGAGCAATAAAAAAAATCTTTTATTTTCAAGTTACTAGCATTTTCATATAGTAGCATTATAACTGAAATCATAATGTAATGTTTCAGATTATAATGTTGAGACCATTTACAAAATATGAGGTTTTCCAGTAGATTACAAGGATCCATTCTAAGTCCTGAATGTTTCAGGTGTGGGGTTAACCAAGCAAGTTAACCAAATAGTCTTTTATGAGTAACCTTAAATATGAAAACAGTTAACTCTGGGGTTCTTAGCCCAGTCCGTAGTGCCTCTCTAAACTCTCATTTTATTATGCAATCATTCTATTAAAGAAACAAATTGAAAACAACCTTTAATATCTCTGTCTCTTCAATGGAAGGAAAAGTCTAAACTATTAAGAATATTACACAAAGCCCTTCACAACAGGGTCCAAACCTAACCTAGCTTCCTGCCCTTTCGCTTTTCCCAGGAGCCCCGACAAGCTTGCCATCCACGCGCTTTACCACTCCCTAAGCGACCTCGGCTTCGGTGCTCTCCTGCCTGTTCACTTGCTGCTCCTCCACCAGGACTGTCCCTCCTGCCCGTGTCCATCTCCACCTGCACCGCTGCTCCTTTCCCAGCTCCATCTCAACTGTCTCTGCTCCGAGAAAGCTCTTCCACTGCTTCCGGGCAAAGTGGGTTACTCTTTCCTCAGGTCCCATCACGTTTTCATTCCCCTCTGACACATATTTCACCAGCAGTTAGCAGAGTACCTTACACATAGCATCTTCAATAAATATTTAGTCACATGGGCTTGAACAAGACATACACAGACATTCAAAACCTAAGAGATGGGATACTCATATCTCTTAAATCAATACAAATAAATTTTTGAAAACATGATTTAGCTACTGGGATTTTGAGTTCTTGATAAATCTCACTGTTCAGCAATTTCAAGATATAACCTATTACAATTTGAAAGCAACTGAAGTTTCACTAGCACTGAAGATTTTATCCTTCACTCCTGTATTTTAGTTTCAAGATATCCTTCACCTTGTATACGTGCACTCTATTCTCATCTTTACTCAGATTGGTGACCCTTTCCTTTTTATCCAAAAGAAGAGCTTCAATTCATTTCAACCTAATTAAAGGAACCTTTAGTTTCATTTACCACCTCTGCTCTTTTTTAGGAAGCAAGAAAAAAAATCTGAAAAATGTCAAACTTCTAAAGCAAATACTAAATATAATCTCTTACATCTTCTGAATTTGCAATACCATAAAAGAGGATTTCCTGGGTGCTCTGGAAGACATTTTTCATAAAGCAGGGTCAAAGAAAAAGTATCTGTTATGACAATATTCCACATTCCACTGTTGTTCACGTCAGTGGACAGATTACTAAAGGAAGAATAATCGCATTTCCTATTAAGAACTTTAAACTTTTATATCACAGTTCTTAAGAATATAAAATCAGAGTCACATATTTAATTTTTTGTAGAACAAATTCAGGTAAGTCTAGATATATAAAATGACTTTTTAAAAATACTTGATCATAAAAATAAATACATAAAACATTCTGTCCTATTCTTAGAGGAAAATATTCTAAATATATTGAATGCTGATTCCAGTATCACTAAGCTTAACTCTTCTGAAAAGGTACACATGGAGTCCTTAATTCATAGATTAGAAATTATTTATAGAATTATTGAAGTCTTGCCAAATATTCATTCTTCTGTGAGGAAATGAGTCAGCGACTCTTTCAGTGTCTATGCCACAACTGCCTGCTAGAAACCAATTCAAGGGCAGTTACCTTTATCAGAGTAGTTGTGTTCTAAAGCATGGAGATCAGGCAGTAGGTGAATACAGTTTATGCAGCAGTAGGTGAAGAAATCAAGGATGACCACTTTTCCACAGAGATCCTTGTAGACAGAAATAGGCCCTTCTGTGTTCAGCCATTCTAATCCTGGAATTTACATGAAATAAATTATCACGACTAAAGAAAAAGACAATTTATCTAAAACTTTCCACTAAAATGTGAACCACTTGTTTCTAAGGAGAGGATGAGGGCGGTGAGGATGAGGGGGAACAAGACAGGAAAGAGGGTGTAATGAGGCAGTCTGCAAATATAGCAAGAAAAAGCTACCAAATTCTTTCAGAAATAGTGTAATTCTGTGTGTGTGGAATGAAAGAAAGATCAACACATTTAAGTAAAAAAAGAGGAAATACCAAATATTAAGAGGGTGTAAGTACACAATTCGGTACAGATGGGCTACTGAGAGTGAGTCAACCTTAAGAATAGCAAGACATGACTAAATATCACAAAGGAGCAAAGTGCCCAAATGAAAAGATAAACATACAAAAGGCTTAAACCAATTTCATAAGAGAAAGCGTGGAAATGCTCTTGATTTGAATGAGACCTTAAATGCAAAATATTTTAAATGCAAGGTTAAGCAAAATACACTATTACAGATTTCATGGAAACAACATTAATTAATATTGATGGAAGAGTGTGTTCCCTTCCCTCCAAAGAAAAATAAAATCTCATTAATCTGTACTTTAACAAATCAGAATTTATAATTACTTGACCATTATTTACAATTTTAACTATGCACTAAGATAGATATTGTTAAACTAATATTAAAAGTACCGCATCTTGCACCTGGCCAGTGTGGCTCAGTGGATTGAGAGTCATCCCATGGACTGAGAGGTCCTGGTTCAATTCCTGGTCAGGGCACTTGCCTGGGCTGCAGGATTGATCCCCAGTACGGGGAGTGCAGGAGGCAGCGATCACTGTTTTTCTCACAGTGATGCTACTATCTCTCTCCTCCTTCCTCTCTCTCTAAATAAATAAACGAATGAATGAATAAATAAGTAAATAAATGAAAACCTATTTTTTTTAAAAAAGTGCTGGATGTTGCCCTGGCTGGTGTGGCCTCAGTTGGGGCATCATCCTGTGCACTGGAAGGTCTAGGGTTCAATTCCTGGTCAGGGCATATACATAGGTTTAGGGTTTTATCCCTGGTTGAGGGCATGTGCGAGAGGCAACCTATTGATGTTTTTCTCTCCCTCTTCCTCTCTCTCTACAAATCAATAATAATGAAAAAAAGAGTACAGCATCTTCATTTAACCAACTTAAAACAATGGTGATGAATTTGTTACTTACAAGTAAATAAATATAGCTACTAAAACTATTAATAATACATTTTTAATATATAGTTGACATACAATATTTAATTATACCTTAAAGCAGGCATTTGGAAATGTTTTATAGAAACTGAAAGCCAGAATTGGGTGGAGCAGTGCATACTAACAGCTAATGACTAATAACAGTAATTGGAGTCACTCAATTTTAACAAAATTCTTTTAAAAAAACCCCACAAGCCCGCCTGGTGTGACTCAGTGGTTGAGCATCGACCCGTGCACCAGGAGGTGCCAGTTAGATTCCTGGTCAGGGCACATGATCAGGTTGTGGGCCCAATCCCCGGTGGGGGGCATGCTGGAGGTGATCAATCTATGTTCTCTCTCATCAATGTTTTTATCTCTCTCTCTCTCTCTCTAAAATCAATAAAGAAAAATTTTTTTTTTAAAAAACCCATAAAAATGTAAATCACATTACTATTTCTGCCAATTAATCCAACCTAGTGAGGTTTTAGGGTGAACTCTAAATTATCCATTCTAATAGTGTTAATTACATGCCAGATCCAGTGAGCATATAAAACTTCAAACTAATTAATGTATATTTTACATTCTTGTTGCAAAATATTTGTGAATCTGTCTTTTGAATTTATCTTCTCTAATGAGTGACCTAAATTGAGGGTAGGGAAAGTACTAGTGTCAGTTATTGTGCTAGGTGCCTCACAGGCTTAATAACACAAATTTTATAAAAACAATAATTACAATTAGGAGCTGCTAACATTTACTGAGCTCTCCTATGAACTAAGAACTTTATCTTCAGGTAGAGTGGGAGGTAAGGTGGGAGGGAGAGAGAGACATCGATGTGAGAGAGACACATCCACTGGCTGCCTCCCTCATGACCCTGACCAGGGCTGAAGACCTAACTGCAACCGAGGTATGTGCCCTTGACCTGAATCAAACCTGCTATTCTTTGGTCCGTGGGTGGACCCTCTAACAGCTGGGCCAAACTGCCCAGAATTTTAGGGATACCTCCAGTCCACATAATGAATATGAAAGGTAAATATTCACTCTTTTTTTTTTTTTTTATCCTCTCCCGAGGACATTTTTGCATTTATCTTCAGATAGAGCGAGAAGGAGAGAGAGAAGAGAGAGAAACATCGATGTGAGAGAGACACATCGACTGGTTGCCACCCACATAACCCCAACCAGGGCCAGGGACAAACTGCAATTGAGGTACATGCCCTTAGCGGGAACCGAACCCAGGACTCTCTGGTCCAGAGGCTGATGCTCTAACCACTGAGAAAACTGGCCAGGGCTATTCGCTCTTTTTTATACGTGAGATGTAGGCTTGGAGAAGTCAAGTAACTTGCTCAAAATCATGCAATTAACATGGAATAACTGGGATTTAATCCTAGGTCTGTCTGACCAGCCATTATACCACACTGCTTCCCATAAATATGTTTCTTTTAAGAAATGAACAAAATACACTGTTTTTGAAACAGAGTTATGCTTATGACTTCTTCATTACAATTTACTGATAAAGAAACCAAGAAAAAACTCATCTCTAGTATCCTGTCTTCAGTAATTAGGTTCAGTAGAAAATGTGACTGTCAAATTCGAAGCTTGAATATTTTGTTACATTATTTACCAGTCACAAAGGTCAAATCTCATGGTAATAAAATACACTCACTGTAAATACAAACAAGGCTAAAAAATATCAACACTGGCCTAAATTCTACCTGGTGGTATGCTGTCTTATGACAGTATACTACATAACTAACTACCCACAAAGTTTTTTAAAAATATGCATATATATCATATATATCATCTAATCTTTTAAAGTTTCTTTGATGGGATAAGCACTTATGCTCCCAATTCTTTTGTAAGAATTCTGCAATATTTCAAATCCAGTGTAGGATGAATAAGAGAAAAAATAAGCACTTTTCAAGGTGGGAGCAAATGGCTTGGAATGACACTCAAGATTGTTGTCAGAGGTAAGGTTCCGATATACCTCCCATGAGATACTGAACCCTGCCACATCCAACCAATTAACTATACATGTGGTTTCAGTGTCATGCCAGGAGACATGCCAACACCACCAGGCAAAACAATGCCAGTCCCAACCAAAGAAGGTAGAGTAGGGTTTCATTTATCATAGCAAGATGTACTTCACAAATAGCACTGCTGGGAATATCAGTTCCCCCAGGCTCCAAACACTCCCAGCGCCGGGATTCGAACCCTGGAAATGGGCCACAATGGATTCCGATTTTTAAAATTACAAGTGTCATGACTTGGAGCAGAGAAGTGTGGCACAGCTAACAAAACGGCCAATCTGGGGTCTTTAGAATCCAACCCTGGCAGGTATCAGTTGTGAGGACCTCGGCAAATTAACTTAGCTTTCCTATGCCTCAGTTTCCTCATCTGTAAAACAGAACTAATAAGAGCATCTCCATGGGTTGTAGGGCGGAATAAATAATACCCCGAAGTGTTCAGACCTGTGTATCACATGAGAAGTGATGGATACATGCGAGCTAGTATGTTGCAGAAAGATGACGACGATGAAGATGCTACTGGGTGGCCAGGCTGAAAGGACAGGGGGCGTGGGCATGTTCACCATTGCCAACCAGGGCCACTAAACATCCAAGGCAAGTCCGGTTCGTCCTCTTAAGGTCCGGACCGGGCTCAGGACACCGGGACGGGGCTCAGGACACCGGGACGAACGGGCAGCCCCGCCCTCCAGACACCCACCGCCGGCCGCCGCTCCAGACTTCGGGGATCCGGCTGGGCAAAGCGCCCGGCACCACCCCGCCTCGCCCACCGCCTCGGGGGAGGGCGCCGTCCCCGAGGAAGGGGAGGTTCCGGAGGGGTCCCCACCCCGAGGCCAGCCCCTCACCTTCCGGGAACTCGGGCACTGACAAGTCCTGCTCCCAGCCGTCCACCTTCTGCAGATACTGGTAGACCAGGCTGTTCTTCTCCTCCTGGGTGACGGCGTCGAGCAGGGCGTACTCCAGCGAGGTCTGGGCCGGGAGCAGGCCCGAGAGGCTGCAGCCCCGGGCTCCGGGGGCCGCCATGTTCTCTCCGGACCGTCCGGAGGCGGCCGCGGGCCCGCGGGAAACGCTCGTCTGGGCAGAGGGCGGGAGCGCTTTCCGTCCTTTAGTTTCCAACCGGCACATTCACCCCCTCTCCACCAGCCCCGCTCCGCACCACGGACACCTTTCCCTTCTGTAAGCACGCATTCCAGGGCTCAAGTTACTGCAAATCTCCGCCAATTCCCCGGCCTGTGGTCCAACCACCGCCCCGACCACCCCGCCCCTTCTAAGTCCGCCCGCCGCGGCGGACCTGTGCGTTCGGAACGACAGATTCAACAGCCGCCTCCGGGGTAGCGTTCTAGAAGCTGTAAGCGAACCATTCCCCCACCTTCCGCTTCTAGGACAAAAAAAAAAATACCACGAATCCGCAGGACTTAAAAGGGCACAGCATTTTTTTTTTCCCCCTTTCTTTTTGAAGTCTGGCTCTTAAACCGGAACCAGCCGATTCGACACAGGGCACTGGCGGCGGGAAACAGTCCTGCCAAGACAGGAAAGGTAAGGGAGTCGGGATATCCTCGAGGGACGGGCTTTTAAAAGTTGGGGGTGACTGGCCGTGACTTTGGCTTGTAGACAAATACGGTCACTTGTCGCCCTGCAGTGCTGAAAGTGCGGGCGCGAATAGGCTGTCAGCAGAGCCGGGGAGGGGGCGCGGAGGGAGCGGACGCAGCTGGAGCCGCTCCCCCGGCGCTGGTGGCAGGTGGGCTGCGGCGACGGTCCCCGAGGGCCCGGCTTCCGTCTTTGGAGGGGAGGGCTGTGATTGCTTTTATGGAGCGGGCTGTGCCCGCAGCTCATCGGCGCCCTGCGCCGGAGGGACTAAGGCCCCGCTCCCTGGCCCTGCAGCCTCCCGCGTCCGCAGAGAAGGTAGAGCCCGTGGGAGGCGACGGGCAGGTGAACCTCGGTGTCCAGGCCGGTGGAGAGAGGCCGGTGGCACCGTCGGGGCCCTCAGGGCAGCCACGACCTCACATGTTTCAATGTTGTTTGTTTATTGTGCAGTGTTTGTTCATTGCTGCCGGAGGAAGATGGTGGACTGACTCAGGAAACTGAAGTTGTTGAATATCCACGAGCCCCGGATAAGGGCAGTTAAGTTCACCAGGAATCACACGCTTCTTTGATTATGGAGTAACTTAGTGTTAATTAGCAAACGGAGGTCTTCATATAGTGTTTGGAACACCCGCCGAGCCATTTGCCCAGGGACTCTGGGTGGATTTGTGAGTTATTTGAACAGTTTTTCAGTTGAAAGAGAACTGATGGGAGCTTTATTACACTTTTACAAACCTGGTCCTAAGATTCCTATTAGTGTTTAATTTTCAAAGTATTACCGATTCTTATTTTTATGAATCGAGTCCTGGAAAAGGTGCGGTAGGTAGCCACAAAAATAGAAAACTTCTGAGATGCTACCCCTGTAGTAGGTTCTCTTCACTTTATTCTCAGGTGTAAGGTTTGTAGTTTGCCAATATATTCATTACCAGACCTTCACATTCCCATCAAGTTAGTGGGTATTTGGGTTTTTTTTTCCCCAGTAAAATAATTCCATTTAAAATTTTTACAACAAGAAACAGACTCTCAATTTACTTAAGATTAGTGTTTCTTTAATGATAAAAGTCACTTTGCCATGTTAGAAGACACTTTTTCAGAAGAAGACATCTGGGAATACAAATCCAAAAGAAAACCAAAACCAGTACATCCAAATAATGGCCCTGAGAATAGTCCAAAATCTGTTGAAAAAGCAACAGAGGGAAAATATCAGTCAAAACAAAACAGAAATAAAAGAAGAACTGTGAAAGCTAAAGAGAAGACCAAGGACCCTGAAATGTGTCTTGGAGAAACAGGTAGTCAGACTTCTGTAGCTTCTAGTCAGAATTCTAGTTGTGAAGATGGTACCCAGCAGTCCCAAGGCAAGACCACTCCAGGAAAGCACTGTAGGACTCACAAAAGCAAACAAGTGTCTCCAAAGATACGTCCAGTTTATGATGGGTACTGCCCAAAGTGCCAGATGCCTTTTTCCTCATTACTAGGTCAGACACCTCGGTGGCATGTTTCTGAGTGTTTGGATTCTCCACCAGTCTCTGAAACAGGTAAGATGATAGTGGTCTTTAAATAGACCCTGCACTAGGCCAGACATATCAGTCCAGTGAAACAAGCAAGGAAAGCAATAAACCAAAAGAAAGACAAGATACTATCAGTATAAATGACTCAACCCTAGAAGCAAAAAAGGTAATGTATGTGTACCCTTCCTAGGAAGGGTAAAAAGGTAATAACCAATGGTATTAGTTGTAAAGAGTGTTGCAAACTTGAAAACAGTCTAAATGCATTTTATTTCATAAAAGTCCCTAGACATCTCAATTATTTTTCTTTTTTTTTTTTTTTATCCTCACCCAAGGACATTTTTCCATTTTTTGTTCAGATAGAGTGGGAGGAAGAGAGAGAGAGAGAGAGAGAGAAACATCAATGTGAAAGGGACACATGGAGTGGCTGCCACCCGCAACCAGGGCCGGGGACTAACTGCAACTGAGGTATGTGCCCTTAGCGGGAACCGAATCCAGGTCTCTCCAGACCGCGGGTCGATGCTCTAACTGCTGAGCCAAACCAGCCAGGGCTAATGTAATGTCCTTTTGTGGGGAAGCGGGGATCATTACTTTTATAAATCAGGAAATAAACATACAAGGGGATATGCCAAGATGTTTTACAGAATGTTAATCATAATGGTATGATGGAAAATGGTTTTCAGATTATTATTAACCAGTGTATCAAATTTAATTTCAAGTCTTAGAATCTAAATTGTCCAGGGTATGAACAGCAATAACTAATTAAGATTATTATTAAATAATGAAAGCTAATTCACTATTTCAGTTGTCATAAATCTGTGTTGTTCCATGAGAAAAATTGGAGTAGAACTTTAGTTTTGTGAGAGGTATATGGGTCTTTGACCGGGAATCCAACCAGGACCTCTCAGTCTAGGGAGGGACGACGCTCTCTCCACTGAGCCACACTGGAGGACGGTTCTCTACTCTTTATGGCCTGAGCAGTTGTGAACTAGAGAAACTGATGGTGTCCATGTGTAGCACTTGTTTAAGAAATGAGCGATGCGCGTACGACCTAGATTTTGAAGAAGCTAATATTTGTTTAATTTAAAAATGATGACTAGCACTTTGCAAAAACAGACTGGATAATTGTTAATTTATGCTGATCTTTTCATTTGTGTAAAGATAGCTATTTTCCTAAGGCCTCACAGTAGGGCTGATAACTTTACACTTAATGTGTTAATTTATAAGGCTAATACTGTCAAAACTTGGTCTGTGCTATGGTACTGTAATCGTTTTTTTTTTCTTTATTACAATTTTCAGAGTGTCCTGATGGTCTTCTGTGTACCTCAACAATTCCTTCTCATTACACGAGATACACTCACCTCCTGCTAGCTCAGAGTAGGGCTGGTAATAGTCCTTTTAGCAGTCCACCCGCTGGGGCAGGTGGTAGTTTCAGTGAGACTAACTCAGGCTTTCTTTGTAGCCCTGAGGAAAAATGGTCTCCGTATCAAAACCAGACTGAGAACTTGAAAAATGTTTCACTTGACCCCTTGTTGGTGACACAGTGTCTAAGAAAATGTCAGTCACTGACTGAAACCAAGAAAAAGATTTCCTGCTTGACAAATATCCAAATGTCCCAACAAGCCCCACAGTTTACACAATATGCCAATATTGACAAACTGGTAGGAGTTGGTTTGCCTTTTGCCGAAGAATTAGAGAGCCTAAACAACTCAGAACACGTAAATTTGCCACTACCAGAAAATGACTTCAGCGACTGTGAAATCTCCTATTCTCCTCTTCAAAGTGATGAAGAAACTTATGACATAGATAAAAAGCTGGATGATTCACGGCACGAACCATTTTTTATGGGAAGCTCTAAAGACGGCAGCCTAGGAGAAGATGGCAACAGCTGTACTTTGTTCGAAAAAGTCCACTGTCCCTTACTAAGGGATCAGGTGGAGAGCGGCCCTGAAATAAATAGCTTCTTAACTCAAGATAAATACAATGAAGAATTGTATACATCTCGACTTCTTTTCCAAAACGAGAGTTTTATTTTGTGTCATGATCCAGCGTATTCTGATGAGGCGTTCCTGTTGTTTCCACCTGCATTGGCAGCAGGGCCTCCGGGTAGTTATCAAGCCACTAAAGCAAAACCTGATGAGCCAGAATTTCTCTCATTTCCATCAAATACACAGAAACAGACAACTGAAGAATCAGCTGTTCGCAATCAAATTTCTCTTCCATTACTTAAGAGTAAAATGTCGAAAGCTTTCGAAGGCCAGGCTCAAGGAGGGTGTCTGTCTTTCCATCCCACCCAAAGTAAAATTAGAGAGTTGTCAAGTAAGAATCTCAGTGCTAAGAATAGTAGTCACTCAGCATGTTTCTGCAGAAAGGCATTAGGTGGTATGCTAGACAGTGAGGTTACAGTTTTAAATGCAGAGACATTTTCTAGCACAGCTACTGCTGCTAAGTCTTTGAAAATGTTGCCATCTGGTTCTCAGTGTAACGCAACACACCCTTCGACCAAGGTAATGAAGCAAATGGATATAGGTGTGTATTTTGGTCTACCACCTAAAAGAAAGGAAGAGAAGTTGATGGGGGAAAGTGCATTAGAAGGGATGAATTTAAGTCCAGTTGAAAGTCCTAATAAAAAGAGGTCTGGGCAACACAAGAGGAAAGCAGAAAAATCTTTAAGTGACTTAGAATTTGATGCAAAGGATTTAAATGAGAATTGGCAATCTGTGGAACATTCTAGTAAGAGGGCACAGCATCAAAGAAAGAGACTTAGAAAGTCAGAGTCACTACAAGAAGGAACACCTCAGAAGTCAGACTCCCTTGTTAACAAGACAAAAGCTGGATCAGTCAATTTAAGTGAAGACAAAGTTTTCATCAAGTCAGCTTCTGGTGGGCCACAGAGAGGCAACACGAAAATCCCAGAGCCATCCCCTGTGGGAGAGTTGAGAAAAAGGACGTGTCCATTCTATAAGAAGATACCTGGTAAGTTGAAATATCACCATTTATTGTATCTACAAAGAGTCAACTTGTTTGAATTTTATGTTTGTTGCCCAGTGTGTGTGTGTGTTCGCATGAAACACATTTTTGTATGTGTTTCCTTTGTTTTTCATGATACTTCACTGACTTGTAACAGATTTTCTGGTGTATACTTAAACTTTTTTGCTCCATTCAGCAAAGTTTTATTCAACATGTTCTATATATAAGATACTGTACTAGTTAAGATGGTATTATAGACTTGATAAAGACTAGTAATGGTCAGCTTAATTCAGGAGGAGGGAAAGCTCCCTATAAAAATAACTATAATTAAAGACGGTCTCTAAGCATCTTGAAGCACTTAAGAGAAATGCAAAGTTCTAAATAGCTTCAAAGAAGGAAAATGTCACAGGTTATATAGCTCATCACAAATGCCAGGCATTTTTAAACCATATTATAACTTAGTTTCTCAGCCTTTTCATATCCTTGATTTCTCATGTCTTCACATAAGTTAGTAGAAAAATGTGTGGTGAAATGAATTTTTGTTATTGGAGAAACTAATAACCCTTCTGCTAAAGAGAATATAAACAAAAACTGTCAAAATACACTTGGTTTCAGAAAGATTTTTTTTAAAGTGCTTTATTGATTATTTAGAGCTATAATTTGTTCAACATATTTATGTAGAGAAGAGCATTTTTTACATCATAGCACTAGTTTTTTTTAATAATTATTTTCATGGATTTTCTGTATCTTAAATGAGTCTAAAACTAGTATGTCACATGTTGATAAGTTTCAATAGAATTACTTATTTACTTGCATATAATTGGGTATTTTTTTCATGAACACATTTTAGAACACCTCAACCTTTTTAACTTTTTTTTTAATTGCTGCTCTAGGAAGGCTCTTTTTAGGCAATTTATTTTTCTTGTTCCCCTCTCTCTCACCCTCGCAATGAAATCCAAACAGTACCAATACACTGTTTATCTGTTACTGTACTGTGGCCCTTTGGAGGGCTACAGCCATTGTGCCATGGAAGATTGTTTGGGCCTTCCATCATTCTCGCCCCCTCAGCATTCATGTTTTAGAAGAGTTAGCATTCTCCTTTGGCTATTTTGCTCACGTAAAGAAATTTAGGTGCCCAGTAAGTATCGGGAAAATATTCAAAGAAATAATACTCAAAATAAAACAAGTAATTGGTTTGTAGTTTCATTTTTTGATTATTTTGTATAATTATCCATTAAAAAAAAAAAAAAAAAGCCTGTTCTACCACCTTTTGCTGAATTAATCTGCATAAGTTTTAAATTAATTACAAAGTTAAATTAGAAGTGAGATATGAAGATGTTGGAGGGTTCGGTATTTGATTGAATTGAGTATCTTTGTTGGCGCTGTTCAAGCAGCTGTGTTGGTGTTTGCCTTGCAGGGACTGGCTTTACGGTGGATGCCTTTCAGTATGGAGTGGTTGAAGGTTGCACAGGCTATTTTCTCACCCATTTTCATTCTGATCATTATGCTGGTTTGTCTAAAAACTTCACATTTCCAATTTATTGTAGTGAGGTAAGTTTTGGTGTTCTAAATTTTCCATTTGTAGAATGCAATACATTTCTGAGCTGTTCGGTTAAACAGGAATAATTGAAATTGTAAGATCTATCATTCTACTAGACAAGATATGAGAAAACAGATTCCTCATTTAGGTTCTAAAATTCAAAAAATAGTTACACAAGTTTTTTTAAAATATGCTTTTAGTATATGGAAACAATAGATAAATGACTTCACAGTGTACTAAAAAAAATCTAAGTTTCATTCAGTAGACATTTATTGAGTGCCTAAAATATAATTCAAGGCCAAGTACCCAACTTGAAGGAGCGTACAGCCTTAGTGGACACATTCACAAGCAATACCAGGATGAGATCAATATTGTAATAGAAAAACGAACATAGTGCCCAGAAGCAGGGAGAAAGGAGGGTGTTACTCTGTCCCAGGCTAAGGGCAGAGACGGTTTCCTGATGAAGGAGAGAGCGTGAACTAATTATTGAGAGTTGGACATTTCAGTGCCTACTACTAAGGGCTTTGGCTAGAATTTGATTTAATTCCTCACAGCATTCTTGAGTTATCCTCTTTATTATTGAAATAACTGAGGCTTGGAGAGGTTACGTGACATGCCCCAAGTCACAGAGCTAGTAATAGCAGAGCCGGAATTTGAATGCAAGTCTGTTCGGTTCCAGAACCAGGCAGAGGAAAGAGGAGAGAACATTCCAGGTAGAGGAGTTTGTTATAAAAAGACAGACACCTGCCCAGCCAGTGTGGCTCACTGGCTGAGCAGTGACTCATGCACCAAGAGGTCATCGGTTCGATTCCCGGTCAGGGCACGTGCCCAGGTTGTGGGCCCAGTCCCCAGTGGAGGACATGCAGGAGGTGGCCAACCAATGTTCTCTCTCATCAATGTTTCTATCTCTCCCCCTCTTCCTTCCTCTCTCTTTAAAATCAATAAAGAAAAAAAAAATGCAGACACCTGAGAAATAGACTCATTCCAGAATGACTAAACACCAGATAGGTGATAATAGGAGAAACACCTGCAGAAATGGTCAGGGGCCGATCATGAAGGGTTTTGTATGCCATGCGGGGGGATGGACTTTTCACAGGTGAGGGAGAGCCAGTGCCTTCTTCCTGGCATTCTGGAGTGTTTACATTAGATGTAAGACAACAGGGAGATTATTAAGATGCTTGTGTTCTAAACTAGATATGAAATAAAATACTTAGCATTTTACTGGATCAGTAATAGACACTCTGTTTTGCAGATAACTGGCAATTTGTTGAAGAGCAAACTTCACGTGGAAGAACAGTATATCCATCCATTACCAATGGACACCGAATGTATAGTGAACGGTGTCAAAGTTGTGTTCATTGATGCCAATCAGTACGTACTAAAGTTACCTAATAACAGCCTATTTTTTTAAATATTCAAAAGGAAGACACATTACCATGGTTAATAAGAACTTTTTTATTGGAACTAACAGGCTTGATATTTCTTAAAACTTGAGTTAAATAGCCCAGCTGGTGTGGCTCAGTGGTTGAGCATCGACCCACGCACCAAGAGGTCACCGGTTCGATTCTCAGTCAGGGCACATGCCCGGGTTGTGGGCCCATCCCCAGTGGGGGGCATGCAGGAGGCAGCCAATCCATGTTCTCTCTCATTGATGTTTCTATCTCTGTCTCCCTCTTCCTTCCTCTGTCTCTCTCTCTAATATCAATAAAGAAGAAAAAAAAAACTTGAATTAAACATGTGTATTACAGAGTCAGAGAATAGATGTAGAGATCCTGTAAACGTTACCTAACCCATTTTTTGTCAGTTTAAATCACTATGCTTGACATATGAGACTCCTTATTTTTTTAAAATATGTTAACGTGTTGCTGCTGTTCTTTAAGAGATCACCTTTTGCCATTTTTTTCCAGTATCACTTATATATTAACAGCTTGTACTCCATTCAGCTACTAGAGGATCCCTCCCCCCCCACTTTAAGTAATTTTTCAGGCTTTTGATATTAAAGAACTGGAAGATTTTGGGGGGGAAATGGGTTTTCTCTTTCACTCATTTTTTAAAATGTAAAGTCCTATCACTATTTACATTGCAAAAGTGCAGTTACCGACTTTGCTTCTTTCTACTTTTCATAGAGTGTTAGCCTCATGTACCTTCAGAGATCATAGATGCTTAGAGAATTAAAATGAATACCAAATCAAGGTCTCCTAAAACCGAGGCCAGTGCTCTTTCTCAGGTTGCCTGTAACTTTTCTCTTCTTACTCTGCTGCTGATTCTTCTTTAATCACCAATTATGACAACTCAAGTTCTAATTTTTATTAAGGGCAACTTGATTGAGGTATAACTTATGTAAATAAAAGGGACCCATTTTAAGTGTTTGTTTACTTTTGGCAAAATTACATACCCACATGTCTGCCACAATAAAAATACAGAAATATTTCTCTACTCTGAAAGGTTTCCTTGTGCTCTTTCCCAGTGACTTCCCATCCCCACCATTTGATCTGTTTCACATCGCCATGGATTAGATTGTTTTTCCTTGAGATTCATCTAAATGGAATCATAAGTATCTATTCTTTTATGTCTGGTTCCTGTCACTCATCATGTTTTTGAGATTTGTCCATGCAATTGTGTGTATTGGTAGTGTGTTACTTTTTGTTACTGAGTAGTATCTATTGTATGGACACACTGCAGTTTGTTTATCCATTCACCTCTTGATGTACAACTGATTTTCATTTATTGACTTTGTATCCCAAGAGCTTGCTAAACTTGCTCATTCATTGTAATAGGTTTTTTGTAGATTCTTGAAAATTTTCTTCATATCCAATCATGTCATCTGTGAATAAAGGAAATTTTGATTTGCTTCTTATTTTCCATTAGGAGTGCTGTTTTTCCTCTTGTTTATTGTACTGGCTCAGACCTTCAATATAGTGTTAAATAGGAATGTTGAGAGCAGACAAACTGCCTTGTTTCTGATCTTAAGGGAAAAGCTTTCATTCTTTCTCCATTAAGAATGATGTTAGTAGTAGTTTTTTCAAAGATGCCTTTCATCAGGTTGAGGAAGTTCCGAGCTATTCCTAGTCTGCTGAGAGTTCCTAATCATGAGCAGGTGTTGGATTTTATGAAATACTTCTTTGGTATCAGGATGATCATATGATTTTTCTCCTTTGTAATGTTAACATGGTAAGTTACAATGATGGACTATGAATGTTAAGCCAGCCTTGCATGGCTGGGATAAACCCCACTAGTCTTCATGTATTACTCTTTTAAAAAAATATATTGCTGGATTTGATAAGCTAATATTTTGTTACGAAATTTTATGTCTGTTTTTGTGATGGGTATTCAGGGTAATGCTGGCCTCATGAAGGGTTCTCTCCTCCTCTATTTTCTGAAAGATGGTTGTGTAGTAGTTATTACTTTTTCCCAAGGTGTTTGATAGAATTCCCCAGTAAAATCATTGGGGGTTTGAAGTTATGGAGCAAGGAAGTAAGGGGAATTTTTAATTACAAATGTAATAATTTCCTGTGTTTTCTTAGAATTCACAATGAAAGTTCCTTGTGTTTTGGCAGTAATTTCCAAACCCCATTGTGTCAGGGGTCGCCAAGACCACCTTTAGGCTCAGTGGTTCCCTGAAAGGGCTCAGCAGAGCTCTTAAACTTGTACAGCTTATCACAGGGAAGAAATACAGATTAAAATAAGAAAAGGGAAAAGGTAATGCGGGTGGACTCAGGAGACACCAAGCACAAGTTTGCTGGTGTCCTCTTCTAGTGCAGTGGCACAAATTTGCATAAATTTCCCAGCAACCATGTGTAAGAACACATGCCAGGGGTTGCGAACCAGGGAAGCTCACTGGAGCCTTGTCCTTGTTTTTATTGAGAGTAGGTCATGTAGGCATGCAGTACCACCTGACTGACTGCAGTTACTCAGACTCTAGTCCCCTGAGCAAAAATAGGAGTTCCCCATAATTCACACTGTTGTCCTCAACTGTCTCATCACACTAACAACACAAGGCCCAGGCCTCAGGCATACAGAATGCACTCTTATCAACAGAGTATTCCAAGGCTGAGAACTCATCTCCCAGGGGATCGTCCTAAAGACAGGCCTTTCTTGGGAATGTGTGACGTTTGAGAAACCAGACCTGCTGAATTAATCCTTTCTGGCCCACCAGGTTTTTGTTGTTGTTTTTTTATGATGTAAGCTGCCTTAGTCAAAGTGCTACATTTTCTCTGTAGTACAATGCTTTGTCATTGTGGTCAGCTAATAAAGTATATTAACTTGATATTGAAATACGTCCGCTTCCTTCACATGCTTTGCCTCTGTTAAGACAATTTCTTTGAAATGTTTGTGTTCAGCTGCCCAGGTGCTGTCATGATCCTTTTCCATCTCCCTAACGGCAACGTCGCGTTACACACGGGGGACTTCCGAGCAGACCCCACCATGGAGCGCTCTCTCCTCGCTGGCCAGAAAGTCCACATGCTCTATTTAGACACCACGTAAGCGAAGCTTGTTTGTGCGCTTTCTTTCCCCACAGACAGCGTCTGCCATGTGTATTATGAATAATTTGAGCATTTGCCTAGGTCATCAAAACTATGGCTTTTTGTCAGTTCTCATTTTAAGGCTATTTATCAGACAGATGCTGTTTGGAAAAAAAGGTGTTTGGTTAAGGACAAGTTTGGGATTACATGTCTTAACTCACCACAGCTCAGTTTTGTTTTTGTGTTTTTTTATAATTTCCTTTTGGAAAATATGGTTTATATGAGAATTCTACTGCTGAAACAAGGAAGAGAAATTGGGGGCGAACTTTAGGAAACACTATTTTAGGTTATTTTATTTTTTCAAAGTATCCGTAACTACAAATTATAATTGTGAAGAGAAGACTGAGGCCAAAGTCTGATTCTGTTTCTGAGTATTCAGAATTTGTTTTTTCCTCAAAAAGGTAATTCATAAGTGACAGCTTTGAATTACTAGGTGCTATAAACATAATGGTATAAGCTGTTATCTTTTTGTTAATATATTCAAATATCTCACCCACTTGTTGGAAATTAGTTACGTAACCTTTTTTAACCTGTTTCAAGGAGACATGAGTTTGGATGGCATATTTTAGTAAAAGATGATCCTGTTTTCAAACACTAGCTATTTTCCCCATTTCTTTTTCTTCTTTTTTTTTTTATCCCCAACGGAGGACATTTTTCCATTTTTTATTCAGATAGAGTGGGGGGAGGGGAGCAGCGGGGAGAGAAACATCGACGTGAAGGGACCCAACCAGGGCCAGGGACAAACTGCAACTGAAGTACGTGCCCTTAGCGGGAACCAAACCCGGGTCTCTCTGGACCGCAGGCCGACGTTCCAACTGCTGAGCCAAACCAGCTAGGGTCCCATTTCTTTATAGACTTTAAACACTAGGTAAATTAAGAAAATAGTAAATTTAAAAACCACCTTTTCTTATTAGAACTATTCTACATACAATTCTGAATTTCTTTGAGGGTTTTATAGGAGAGAGGATTAAGATTTTTCTCTGTTCTGATAGCTGATGAGCAAAAACAGTTTTGAAAACTGGGAAGTATGTTTCTTTGGTGTTTATACTTTATGACATTTTTAGTGAAAAAACACTCATTTTCCATCTCAAATATATATCGATAATTGTCTTAGGGTTAGATTTTCACTGGACATTACTGTTTTGAGGTAGACCCAACTGGATTTGTTATATTCCTGTAATGCTGTATATATTTCTGTATTTCCTAGAACGGGAAGACAACCATGTGAATATTAACTGTTTGATTTAAAACTACTTCATTAAATTCATGTTTCATTTCATTATTTTAATAATTAGGTTTTTTTATAGTAGCAAAATTCTTTAGTCCAAAAATAATCCCTATCGATAGATTTTTCTTTGCTAGTGATTAGAGTTAAAAAAGGTATTGAGGTTTATAATTCAGAGCTAAGTAGCTGGTTGGCTGGAAATATTCTTGAAGGAAAAAAAGGCAGTTTTTTCATTTGAAGATGATAAAAGAAACATAATGCAAAAAGTGTACTGAAAATACATAATCCCATCATAAATTATAAATAACTGGTAACAGATATTTCACCCATAGGCAGTGGGATCGCTTGCAGTGGTGTTAATACATTATACTGCTGTTGTGTGTAATTTTGCTAAAGCTCATTTTCTACAATAGCGTCCAGTGTAATGCTGTGGCTTTCTTGTAGCTCTTTTTGTAAGTACCATATTTCTGTATTACAGATATTGCAGCCCAGAATACTGCTTTCCATCTCAGCAAGAGGTTATCCAGTTTGCCATCAACACTGCCTTTGAGGCTGTAACTCTAAACCCACGTACTCTTGTTGTCTGTGGCACTTATTCTATTGGAAAAGAGAAAGTCTTCCTAGGTGGGTGTTAGCTGTATCTAATTTACATTAATATATTATAAAGATCAGCTTCCTTTTGCATAAAGCCCTTTCGGTCTCTATTCTTGTGCTTGATATTCATTTCCTGAAATGGTTCAATATTACCTTTGAAGTTGAAGGAAAATTTGATACAGTCTGATTCATTTAAACTTTGAGAGGCTTAACTTAATAGAAACATTTGATGTGCATTTCTGGTAGCCTTTATATTTACAAAATGTTTATAGAGCAAATGCCCATGCTCCATTAGTATTTTAATAAATTTTAAAGATGTCTGGTATATAATGGTGTCACTGCATTCTTTGATGCTAACCATCCATTAATTATCTTAGAGAATAGTTTTAATTTTTGTTCCTAAATTTCTGGATATATAACTGCAGTTTATCTAAATAGTACCAGACTATTTTGCAAAGTACTTTCCATTTCTTATCTATGGTCACATATATAACTGCAGTTTATCTAAATAGTACTAGACTATTTTGCAAAGTACTTTTTATTTCTTATCTATGGTCACATAAGTTCAAGCAGTAAGATCTGAAGTGATGAAGCCAGGGTCTTAATTCCTCCACATTTGGTTTCTTCCCTTCTTCTATCTTTTTCTATACGTATTTTGCAGTTTTTAAATACTAAGTTTTTAAAAATAAATTCTTTGGTTTTCTCACAACTTATTCACACAGTTAATCAGCAAAATTATTCAGCCTTTTTGAGAAATTATGGCAAAAGTATAAGTGTTTTGTATTTCTTTTTATTTGGTAAAATCTTATTTTAAAATTTGGTTAAGTTGTAGTATTTTTTCTTGAGCTATAATTTTACTATTTTTAATCTTTTTCTTTGTCTGTAGCCATTGCTGATGTTTTAGGTTCAAAAGTGGGCATGTCTCAAGAAAAATATAAAACATTACAGTGCTTCAATATACCAGAAATTAATTCCCTCATCACTACAGACATGTGCAAATCACTGGTTCACCTTCTTCCAATGATGCAAATTAATTTTAAGGTAAGCATCCAAGAGATATGTCTTTTTCTTCTTAATTTTTTTCTTTATTGATTTGAGAGAGAGAGGAAGGGAGAGGGAGAGAGAGATAGAAACATCAATGAGAGAGAACATTGATTGGCTGCCTCCGCTGCATGCCCCCCACCAGGGACTGGGCCCACAACCTGGGCATATGCCCTGACCGAGAATCGAACCAGCAACCTCCTGGTCATGGGTTGATGTTCAACCACTGCGCCACACCGGCCGGGCTTGGAAACTGATTTTAACATTGGGAGGCATCCAGCTGGTGTGGAGGCTAATGAGATAGTGATTAATTATAAAATGAACAGATATTTGAAGAGGGTGGATATAGTATTTTAAAGTTATTTTTATTTTACAGTTTTATTTTCTACTTGGTTTGGAAGACAGTGGAGGTGGAGGAGTCAGAGTATTATCGAAACGAAAGGACTAGACCTTCACAAAAGTGTAAAAGTGCCACGTGCTGCAGAGAGGTCTCAAGAGGAAGAGTGGGATTTGGCAGTTAGAACAACTTTGGTGACCTGTATAAGAACTGTTGCAGCGAAATTATATTGGAGGAAGCCAGATGGCCGAGGGCCAAGGAATGAATGAGAAAGTATACAAATGACCAAATGAATAAGAAGATACACAAGTGGCCAATAAACACATGAAAAGCTCAACATCATTAGTCATCCAGTGACTACAGATCCAAACCACAATAGATACCAGTTCACACTCACTAGGATAGCTCTAATAAAACAGACAGACCATGCCAATTGTTGGCAATGATACAGAGAAATTAGAAATCTCATTTGTTGCTAGTGAGATTGCAAAATGGTGCAGCTGCTATGGAAAACAATTTTATAATTTCTTAAAAAGTTAAACATAGAGGGATCATATCACCAAGCAGTTCTAGTCCTAGATTTGTGCCCTAGAAAATTGAAAACATGTCTACACAAAAATGTCTACATTTGTATTCATAGCGGCACCATTCATAATAGCCAAAAAGTAGAAACAACTCAAATGTCCAACAAAGGATGAGTGGATAAACAAAATGTGATATGTCCATAAAATAGGACCATTATTCAGCTATAAAAAGTAATGAAGTACTAAACATGCTTAGTATGAATTAGCCTTAAGAACATTAGGCCATGTGAGAGAAGCAGACACAAATGCTACATTTTGTGTGATTCTATTTATAGGAAAAGTCCAGAATGGGCACATTTATAGAGGTAGTAGGTAGAAGAGTAGTTGTCGGGGCTTGAGGGAGAGGGACTGGGGAGTGACTGTTAAGGGGGAGTGACAATGTGTCTTTTGGGGGTGATGCGGATGTTCTAGATTTAGTGGTGATAGTCATACAACTTTGTGAATATACTAAAAGCCACTGAATGCTACTTTTAAAAAGAGAGTGGCACTTATCTGCCTTGAAGGGGGGGGGGGCAATGAATGAGTGAATGAGAGGTGAAGAAAGGGAGACGAGAAGCATAGATCATTGCTGTGAAGAGGAGCCAGATGTGTTGATGACCAGACAGAAATACACAGAAGGGAGTGTGTTTGCTGGTTTGTTAGCTGTAAGAGCTACGGGTTTTTGTACTGGGAGGGAGAAGGAGAAATTGAAGATATGTGAGAGAAGGGAATAATGACTAAAGTAAGGTTTCTGAGAAGGATCTGGAAACAGGGCTTCATTAGCCTTAAACAGGAAAAGGGTCACCTCTTTGACAATTCCCTTGCAACCTGCAGCTTTTACAGCCTGTACTGATACACATTGCCTTCTTTCAGAGATCAGATATTTATAAATCCAAACTTAAATATGAATTAAATCTTCAACCATTTTTATGACAGGAATTCAGATCTGTTTTTATGACTCGGAAGTATTCATTTTGAACCTGTTTTTCGTTGTTTCAGGGCTAGTGTTTTGGGAAAAGGAATGGTCTGCAGTCATTGTCTCCCTTTTCCGTATTTGTCATCTGATACTGGTGTCACCTTCCGGAGACCTTCCCCTTCCTCTAACAAAGTGGCCAGAGGTTAAAGACATTTTTGATGATTTCTTAGCATCAAAATACAGAGCAGAATTTGATGGTTGCCATGAAGCTATGTTGTAGTTAGTACTTAAAGCCATATTTTTACTAACCAAAAATAGTTTTGCCCTGGCCAGTTTGGCTCCGCAGTTGGAGCGTCAGCCTGTGGACCAGAGAGTCCTGAGTTCGGTTCCCGCTAGGGGCATGTATCAAAAAAAAAAAAAAAAAAATAGTTTTGTTGCATCAGAGCTAATGACTTTTTGTGCAAATATAACCTGTTACAATTTCCAGGGTTTCTAAGACATGCTAAAAACTCTATAAATAATACCATTCATGCTATCTAGTTCAACATCCCAATTTTATATACATTATGTAGAGTTGACTATTACCCCTGATTTAAACTGAATTGACTGACTGTGGTATAAAACATTATAACAATCTTACAAATGATTATTTGCCTATTGAAAAAGTTATTCTAGTGGCATATATGGAAAACATTTTTGTCACAAACTGGTTGCCAATAAGCAGAGACAAGTCATAGATCAGGGGCTTTATGCTAAGTCATTCTTTTTCTTTTTTTTCCAATCCTCACTTGAGGATATTTTTCCATTGATTTTCAGATAGAGTAGGAGGGAAAGAGAGACAGAGAAACATCAATGTGAGAGAGACACATTGATTGGTTGCCTCCCACACCATCCCAACCAGGACTGGGGATCGAATCACAACTGAGGTACATGCCCTTGACCAGAACTGAACCCCTGACTCTTTGGTCCACGGGCCAATGCTCTAACCACTGAGCAAAACCAGCCAGGGCTAGATTTTTTATTATTCTAAATAAAACTAGAATTTTTATTAAAAATCTAAGCCTTTGAAACTCTAGGTTTAGTCTTAAAACCAAGAATATTAGACTTATTTTTGCATCCCTTATGCCATCATTATCTTTAACTAGACTTCTTTTCTCTTTCAGAGATTGAAATTTGATTATTGATTTTCTAAGAATTTTATCAGCCGTCATCACTTAGAATGACTGTGGTTTGGAAGGTTTTATATTTCACTCCTCAAGCATATCAGCATGAAGTGTTAGTGCTTCTCTAGTCCATACGCAGAGGTGGAGGGAGAGTCCATGCGCAGAGGTGGAGGGAGAGTCCATGCGCAGAGGTGGAGGGAGAGTCCATGCGCAGAGGTGGAGGGAGAGTCCATGCGCAGAGGTGGCTGGAGAGTCCATGCGCAGAGGTGGAGGGAGAGTCCATGCGCAGAGGTGGAGGGAGAGTCCATGTGCAGAGGTGGAGGGAGTGGGAGCAGAGAGCAGCACCGCCCTGCATCTCAACAATGCACCTCTGTGCCGAGTGTGCACAGTCCTTGTCCTTCTGTTCTTCAGTCCCCTGCTGGTGCACACGCATGGAATAGGCTTGGATTGATGTTTATCCGTCCTAACATTGTGTCTAATAGGAATACTGTTAGATACTAAACTCTTTAATATTAATTTCTTAATAATAGTAGGATTTGGAGAGGTGACTTTTTTTTGCTAGCTATCTTAATTGTAGTTTTTAAATATATAATTATACACCCTGGCCAGTTTGGCTCAGTGGTTAGAATGTCGGCCCGCAGACCAAGGGGTCGAGGATTCAATTCCCAGTCAAGGGCACGTACCTGGGTTGTAGGTGTGATCCCTGGCCCTAGACAGGGTTGTTTGGCAGGCAACCAAAAGAAGTGTCTCTCTCATATCCATCTTTCTCTCTCTCTCTCTCTCTCTCTCTCTCTCTCTCTCTCTCTCTCTCTCCTTTCCTCCTTTCCACTCTTAATCTGGAAATCAATGGAAAAATATCCTCGGATAAGGATTAATAAAAAATAAATAAATATATAATTACTTATGTTTAAAGTTGTCCCATCTTAGTTTCTTTTCAGACTGCACTTAAGCATATTTTAACTTTAGATGAGTAAAGGTGTAAATACTTTTCTTTCAGTAATTTTATTTTATTTTATTTGGAAGTAAGGCACTGGATCAGCGATTTTCAACCTTTCTCATCTCATGGCACACAGAAACTAATCACTAAAGTTCTGCAGCACACCAAAAATACATTTTTTTGCCGATCTGACAACAAAAAATAGGTATAGTTTTTATTCACCCCGGAGAGCTATTGTGTTGGCTGTTGTCATTGTTTTATTTGACAATCTAAGGCAAAAGAGGCCAGTGCCCCTGACCAAGCAGTCAGGTACTGCGTGTTCTGACAGCTCCGTGCACACGGGTGCGCGGCACGCTGTCGAGGGGCACTGTGCCAGACGGTGCCCAGCAGCGCTGACCAAGAGAAAGCCTCCTGTGACGGTGCCAGGCTAGCACCTTTCGTCCGCCTTCCGTTCCACTACCCGTCTCCCCTGACCCTGAGCTCAGTGGCCTGTTTTCATTTAACAGGGTTTACGGAGTCATTTGAAGAAGTACGATGGGAGATACGACCAGGTTTTGGCTTTTCGACCTACAGGATGGACACATTCTAATAAGTTAACGAGTATAACAGACATTGTACCCCAGACCAAAGGAAACATTTCAATATATGGTATAGTTATTACATTTTCTCACTTTTAATGTTTGTAATTGACGTGTTGTTTTTTTAAGCAGGTCTGTAATTAAAGGTGAAGAAAACAGGCGTGAACGAATCTTGAACAATTCAGGAGTTGCATGCAGATTGCTCTGTGAATTCTGAACCGTATCTCCAGCACATTCTAAGCTGATGTACAGGATGTGACCGTAGTAGACACTGGCCGATACAGAGATGTGTCTGAGATGGGGGATGTGTAGGGAATTTCGGAACTGCTGGCGAGTGGGGGTGGGGCAGCTGAGTGCGGCAGGTTCCTCGGCTCTGAGAGCAGGGGGCAGTGGGTGGAGGTGGTGGGGGCCAGCTCAACTTGACTTGAGTTTTTACATTTCTTGGAGGAGGTTCACCATTGCCCTCAGAAATGGACTTATTACTATAATGGCTGATGGGGAACATTGTTGATATGTCACTAGACCAGTGACTTACTTTTAGCCTCTAAAGACCCTCTGTGCTCAGAACAGGGCCTTTCTCCCTGTTTCGGTGGTACTTGATCTTCAGTAAAGAAGATGAAGGGATTTATTTTTTAGGAGTCAATCTGCTTTTTTGAGTTTGGAAATCAAGTGTCTCCAGCTTATTCTTCAAATTTTACTCCTATTTCTTCTAGGATTTTCTTGAAATTTATAGCTGAGCAAAGTGCTTAAAGGGAAGAATTATTTAAAAAGAAAAGCCTAATTATAAATAAGAATTATAGAAATGCATATTATCATCTATGTAGAAAAGTAATAGAATTTTTTAATGTTCAAATTTTTCATGTCCTTTTAATGTTTTAATCTTTATTTTTCATAAAAGATACATTTTATTAGCAATAAGGCATCAAGGAGTTTTAAACAAAAATATTCTGCATTGCTTTCCTTTTTTATTTTATTATTGTGGATTTTTGTTATTAAGTTGATTTTTAATAGACAGTCTTTTCTTTTTGTGTTCTAGGAATTCCTTATAGTGAACACAGCAGCTACCTAGAAATGAAGCGTTTTGTTCAGTGGCTGAAGCCCCAGAAAATCATACCTACGGTGAATGTGGGCACCTGGAAATCTAGGAAAACAATGGAGAAATATTTTAAAGAATGGAAATTGGAAGCTGGCTATTGATGTTACCAAGAAGGATGCAGACGTAGTTAAGTAACTTGAGTGTAGCTTGCTAATAGTTAAATCTTTGGTGATATGAAATACACTTACGTGAAAAACCTTACGAAGGTCACTCGTATAGCTTATTTTCTTATTTACATTTGAATAACATGTTCATGTTCCTGAGTACCTCTCAGCAACATCAGTGATTATTGAGACTGGTCTCCCTAGTACCATGGTGCCCCTCCCCATGGGGGCAGTTATATTCTGCATCCAGCCTTAACAAAGGAAATAAAGGCAGAATCAGGGACCAACAAAGTTTCATTATAATGGATAATTAGATTGAAAATGTTGCATATAAATAATTATATCTTTAAAATTATTTAAAATGGAGAATATTTTATAAGATAAAGCTTTTATATGATATGTATACATAAATAAAAGATCTTAAATGTGTTGTGTAGTGTCTTGGTTTTTAGGATTTATAACTGTGTCTTTTGTGCAATTTTATAAAATGTAATGCAGCATTTTACTCTGAAGAAGATGCAAAGAGCCTAGATCATCATCCTATAAAAGATGGAGGGCAGTTTGCTCGAATGATGCTTATCTGAACTATTGACTCAAGATACCAATAACTAAAAGTTTAGAGTGCAGTTTTTTTAAGTGAGATTATATAATTTATTTAAGAATCTTGATGTCTCCAACACAGATTAAGTAACTGATCCAAAATGGAACTTTTAGGCCAGTGCATGTTAAAAATGTTTTTATGCTTGTGTGGCCAGTATGACTCAGTGGATTGAGCATCATCCCATGGACTGAGAGGTCCCAGTTCCATTCCCAGTCAGGACACACGCCCCGATTGTGGGCTTGACCCCCAGTAGGGGATATGCAGGAGACAGCCAATCGATGTTTCTCTCTCACATCAATGTTTCTCCCTCTCTCTAAAAAAAATCAATAAAAACATTAAGAAAAGAAAAGAGCCCTGGCCGGTTTGGCTCAGCAGTTAGAGCATCAGCTTATGGACCAGAGAGTCCTGGGTTTGGTTCCCACTAAGGACACATACCTCGGTAGCCGTTTGTCCCCGGCTCCGGTTGGGGTTGTGTGAGTGGCAACCACTTGATGTGTCTCTCTCACATCAATGTTTCTCTCTCTTCCTCCCTCTCTCCCTCCCGCTCTATTTGAAGATAAATGCAAAAAGTCTTTGGGTGAGGATAAAAAAAAGGAAAAGATAAATGTCCTTATTTTAAAAAAAAGTTTTGCCCTGGCTGGTTTGGCTCAGCAGTTAGAGCATCAGTCTGCGGACCAAAGAGTCACAGGTTCGATTCTGGTCAAGGGCATGTACCTTGGTTGCAGTTCTATCCCTGGCCCTGGTTGGGGTCACTTGGCAGGCAGCCAATCAATGTGTCTCTCTCATGTCAGCGGTTTTCTCTCTCCCTTCCTCTCTCCTACTCTATCTGTAAGTCAGTGGAAAAATATCCTCAGGTGAGGATTAAAAAAAAAAAAAGAATCATAATTGTAGAGCCCGGCCAGTGTGGCTCCGTGGTTGAACATCAACCCCTGCACCAAGAGGTCTCTGGTTCCATTCCCTGTCAGGGCAAATGTCCAGGTTGTGGGCCCGATCCCCAGTGGGGCACACGCAGGAGGTGGCCAGTCGATGTTCTCTGTCATTGATGTTTCTATTTCTCTCCCTCTCTCTCTCTAAAAGTCAAAGGAAAAAAAAATATATATATATATATATATATATATTTTATATATATATTATATATATAATATATATATAAAGAATCACAGAAAAAAACTTTAAAGATTTTTGCCAATTTGATATTTTTAACAGAGGAGATGGTCAAATCATGTGGGGTCATTTTTATTTATTATTTGAGTAACAGTTTTTTCCCTTGAATGATCATTTTTCATTGGTAAAAAGGTTGTTAATTGTGAATGTTCTGCTTTGATAATCCAGGCATGTTATGTACGAGCAGCTGCCACCTTTAAGTATTGAAAACAAAAACGTGTTGCTGCACAAATAGCACCATTTCTGGCTGCTTCGGAGATTTTGTTTTGCTGCTGTTGCTGAAGAATATACACAATCTCATTTAGGGGCCCTCCCAAAGAGCTTATAAGTCACAATCACAACCAAACTTTTCTAGGCTCTGCTGAGTGGTCTATATGGAATTTTTAGCTCCAATACCTAACACTTTGGTAGGTAAAAATTTTCAATTTTGAAGTGAAATGGAAGAAGAAATCTACTTAAATTAATCCCAAATAAATGGATGATAGCTCTTGAGTATCCTGAACGTGTATGGAGAAGGAGAATTAAGCCAACAAAGGGGCAAATGTTGTATGTATATGTATTGGACTTTTCAGAAAGCTTTTTACCATCTTATCTGACATTGAAGATCAAATGACCAGATGCAATGACGACAGACGGATTTCAGGTTCTCCTAACTTTGATGTAACAGGAAAATACTTCCCACTTGATGTCAACGTCTTCTAAATCTATTTATTGCTTCCTATATATTAATGCTCTGGTTTTCAGAGCAACTAATTTAAATGAATGTTTTTTCCAGTTATTGAGTTATATTCCTGTGAACCAGATACATGCAGAATTTCCTTATTTTGTCCTGAATAACCATCAATAAGTAGACCAAGGAACTAAGAAGAGAATCATCTTCAAGTACTGATCTTCAAAATGATCTGTCTTGACAGGAACTTGTAACTTTTCTGGTAGATTTACTACTTTTCCTTCAGTTTATTTGGTATTGATCTTAGAGAAATTCCAATAAAGAAGTTATTTGAAAATCATAAGTTAATAGTTACAGATAATAGTAGAAATGTCTGTGCCTGAGAATTACTTCCAATTTGCCAAGTTGGAAGCTTTTACCTTGGTAATCATTTTAATATGCTAAGTATGTTTCATTTCCCTTAGTATTATCCCATCCTCCCCAAAGTAGACATAATCTCTCTGTGTGGTAACTCATTCCTCCAGTGATTTCACAGTTGCATTTTTGGTAAGCCAGAAATAATTTCTAAATCCTTTGTGGTGGAGCATATTAAGCAAACACAACCATTGAAGCAGGAGAGCTGTCTAGGGTGCACTTTTTTAAGGCTCCCCTGCACGACCCTGAGACTGAGTGCCTCCCCGCATTTTACACTAGGAATCCTCTTTTGCCTCACCCTAGCCCCTGCCGGATTCATAACATTTCATTATGTTTGGGATTTTTTTTTTTTTTTATTGTCTTGGGGGAATTCAAATGGCTTTCTAAATAAAACATTGTTACAGCTTTGACTTAGTATACATTGAAACATCATTACTGTTACAATCTGAATTTAAGAGAGTACATTTTAAAGAACTTCCAGTTCACCAATATAGAGCTCATTAGTCCCAATTTTTCTGAAGCTCCAAAACCCAGATCCTTTGAGATCCTACTCCAAGGGCACGGCAAACCCTTCAGGGCAGGATCCACATCTTACTCATGGTAGGATCTAGCACCTTCAGTGTCTGGTCCAGAGACAGTTCTAATTGTAAATGCTTGAATGAATCTGGGATAGACAGTGAAATTGCATCTATATTTTAAGAATTTGACTTCCATAATCCTCTAGTGTTTTCTCCAAATGAAAATAGCCTCATTCCAGAAGAACTACTGGTGATATAAAATACACTGAAACTACTCGGTTGATCGTTTGGTACATTAAGCTCTGTTACTTAACGTCCATTTCCGTGTGGGAACAGTTTAGAGAATAAACTCTTTTTGGTTGAGCCATCGCTTTAGTTGGTCACTGAAGTCCGTCATTGAGCGTTCGAACCCTCCCTCCAGGAGCTTACATTCTATCAATCAATATTACTTCTTCATTCGGTGCTACAAACCTCACACTATTCTTGGTGTTGTGGGGATTTAAAAACACCTCAGCACACAATTTGCTTTGTCCTAAATATGATAGACTTGTTTTCCAAGGAAAAAAAGAAGTTTCATGGTCAAGTCCAGTTGCATTTTCTGTGGATGTTCTTTCGTTATTGCAAAATGGAAAGCAAGAGCTTAATAAAGTGGCATCAAAACAGTGCTTCAGCGCACTGTTAGATAATGTGATTAAGTTGTTTTTTCAAGTCTGTTTGAAAGAACTGTTCTGGACTTCCTGTTGTGGCTCTGAGCTCTGATTACATATAACAGGGATAAGCAGATAAAATTGTAAATGAACTTAAAAGCAACAGTGTCTGGAAGGGGAATAAAAGCCACATACCCTGGTTTTGCTACATCAGCCAATTTTTTTTATTAATGTCTTTTATCCATGGAAAGAGTGCTGGATGCTGCTTTATGTTTTTTGTGTTTTGTTTTTTTAACAGCTTAATGGCGATGTAATTCACCCATTTAAATTGTGCAACACAATGTGGTTTTTAACACAGTTACTCGAGTTGTGCAACCATCATCATAATCAACTTTTTAGATTAGTTTTATCACCCAAGAAGAAATTCCATACCCATTAGCAGTTACTGCTTGGTCCTCTCCTCCCTGCCCTCCCAACACCCACTTACCTCTTACCCTAGGTAACAACTAAATCTTTCTCACTATAGACTTACCTATTCTGGGCACTTCATATAAATGGAACATAATGCATGATGTTTTATGATTGACTTTTTTGACTTAACAGTGTTTTCAAGGTTCACCCATATTTAGCATGTATTAGTACTTTATATCTTTTTATGGCCAAGTAATATTCTATTGTTTGAAAATACCACATTTTGCCCTGGTGGTTTGTCTCAGCAGTTAGAGCGTCAGCCCATGGACCAGAGAGACACGGGTTGAGTTCCCGCTAAGGGCATGTACCTCGGTTGCAGTTTGTCCCCGGCCCCGGTTGGGGTTGTCTAGGCAGCAACCAGTCGATGTGTCTCTCTCACATCGATGCTTCTCTCTCTCCTTCCCTCTCTCCCTCTCACTCTATCTGAAGATAAATGCAAAAAAAAAAAAAAACAAAAAACAACACATTTTGTTCATCTATTCATCTGTGTCTATTATAATAATACTGCTTTAATATTTTTCACAAGTTTTTGTGTGGACATATATTGTTATTTCTCTTGGCTATATATCTAGAAATGAAATGGCTGGTCATGGTAACTGTGTTTACCTTTTTCGAGGAACTGCCGAATTGTTTCCCCAAATGCCTATACCAGTTCTCACTCCCACCGGCTGTGTGTGAGGGTTCCAATCTCTCCACATCCTCACCAACGCTTGTTAATGTCTACTTTTTTATTCCAGTCATCTTGGTGAGTGTGAGGTGGTATCTCATTGTGGTTTTTATTTGCATTTCCCTGCAATGGCTGGCATTGAGCATCTTTTT